CAGGCCATGACCACCCTGGCCCATGTTTTGCACACATTCCATGAGTCGTACACTGCATTCCATGACCACCCTGGCCCATGTTTTGCTTGGTTTACATGACGCGTACACTGCATTCCATGACCACATTGGCACATGTTTTACATTGTTTACATGAGTCATACACTGCACTCCATGACCACCCCTGGCCCATGTTTTGCGCACATCCCAGAAGTTGTTCACTGTGGGCTTATAAGTCATGACCAGCAACCCATCAATATGTGGGCTCCAGACTCCAAGTCTGCTATCGCAAATAAATGTATGTACTCCAACACTCCACACCGTTAAGGTGACAAACCTCAATGTTTCAGTGGATCAATCAGGTAAATCACCCACCAGTAGCATCCTATAAAGTAAGCCAGATTACCTGCAGCTCAACTACATTCCTGAACCACAACTGCCTTCCATTATCAATATCATAACTATGAACTTCACTCCTTGCAGGTCTCAATCCGTAAACCTTCAGGGACTTAAGTGTGTGCCCTGGCAGCTTGTTTCACTGCAGCAAGCTCAGCCCGCATCTGGTGAGCAGTGATGGCGGTGCACCACATGGTTTCATGGTCAGGCATCCCATATGCACCACCACCAGTGCCACCCGTCGCCATGGTGTCCCCATACTCTGCAATGACATCGTCAAGTCTCTCGCCAATCAGGTCCTCCAGGTAGTCACCCTCTGGCTCACAACCAGCTGGCCCCATAATTGTTTTGCCAGCAATCACAGCCGCTTCCGGTGCAGCCATGGCCATCTGAGCTGAGACCTGCTAGCAGAACATCAAGATGTGAGCATATGTAAGACCCANAATGCATGATACTGGTGCCCTGCGATGTTCAGGAACCTACNNAGCACTGCATGACATGTGCCATGGATACATCCACAATGACATGTCATAATACATCATACCCATAACCCATACCCCGCGTACCTGCTGCTGCTTCGGTGGCAACCACTGTTCATCTCACCCATCATGACGGCTGGGGCCGTGGCAGGGGTCTGGCAGGATCCCTGCAAATGCAGCATATGGGCCGAATTGATATAGTCTGTTGGAATAATAGTTTAGCAGCTGGAGGGATGCTCGGGGGGCCCTTCCTCGTCCATTCACCCGGACATCCGAAGAGACGGAGGGTTCAGAAATCACCACCTTTCCAGCGTGCAACCTGATCAATCAACTTTAAAATCAACTCCACATCTCAGCAGCTAGCTTACCCTCGTTCCCCCGAACTTGGGGATCTCCCCGGGAATCGAACCCAGGATCTTAAACCGCTAAACACAGTAGAGTCAGCCCAGAACTATTTAACAACATGTACTTACAGCTGCCTTGGCATTCACATATGCCACTCGGATGATCGATGCCATGATTGCCCGCTTCTTCTTTTCAAGGCACGCCTGGCTGATCCTCCAGTACTCCAATGCAGACTTGGACAGCACATCTGCGTGTTATACAAGGAGTTGTGCAGTTATGTGGGGTTTCCAAGCATGCAACTGCAGCTGCAATAAATGCCACACTTACAGTTTGTGTGGCAGTACACAAACTCGATGGCATCCTTCCACTTACTCTGTGCAGAAGCCGATGTACAGTGGTGCCTTGATGGACAGAGGCAGGTTCGATGCCTTGATTGTGGCCTGCAAGCAAGTCAGTGCTTCATGAGTGTGTAGTGACAAGTTGTGCTGCTGTTAGGGGCCTTACCCGGCAGAACCTCTCATTGAAGTTGTGTTGGACAACTTCATCCATGACTTTATTAACCTCTGCAACAAAATCCCGGTCCCAGGCATCCCGCTGCTTGCGTCCCTCGGCGAGTATGTCATCCTTGCTCTTCTTGCTTGATTTTAAGTTTGCACTTCTCTCTCCTGGGAAGCTGTGGGGTTCCAAGGGAAGAAGGAACAAGGCAATTCCCAGGTTGTCATGCTTATGCTTTTAAGGGCAACAACAGCAGCTTTAAACCAGCCATCTTGGCAAAAAAGAAAAGAAAATTCAGTGCATTTCAGTTAGAAAGGGCTAAGCAGATTGAAGTCGGCAGCTGGCTGGGAACCACATTTAAATGCCATTGTTGACGGCAGGTCAACGAACACACCTGTTCCCGTGGGAAGCTCCTTCACACCGAATGTGTCATAGAATATGACATG